TACAGAGTTCAAGTTACAGGCCAGGATGAAGAGAATGCCTGTGCTCTCATAACAAAGAAGGGCGTTTTTTCTGAAAAGTGTTCCACTCCAAGTTACTGGATCTGTCAAGAAGTGATTTCTCATCCATAGAGGATAACCTCTGAATTGTGGTATCCTTCCCATTAAAAAAAAGTTCATAAATATTTTTATTTATAAAGTCACTTTATGTTTCTGCAGTGAATACTGATGGTGATAATCATGATAATGGTGCAGACTAGTGCCACTATTAATCTAGGAAACCAGTCTCAACTGAGCTGTTAGCTCTACTTAGTCACTCATGGTTTATTTCCATAGTTACCTTCCCTTGTTGATAGTGATTATTTCAGGCAGAACCTATACTTCTTTCTTCTCAGTGCTTCAATACCTCTACCTCTCCCTCACCATTAGCAGAGAATCTTGTCTTCTACTTTAAGAAAAAGTAGAAGCCATCAGAGGATAAACTCCTGAATTTTCTACCACCGAGTCTGCACTTTTGCCTGCATTTTCGATTTTAATTACTCTGTTTTCCTTTCCTTCTATTACAAATAAAGGGAGTACCCCTATCCTTTCTAAATAAACTCTCCAAATCTATAATTACGATTGCATCCTTTTTTATTTTCTAAAGGATATCCTTTTCTTGATTATCTACTCTCTAACTTGTTTCTTCCTATGCTTCATCTTCTATCAGCAGTTAAAAATGCTAGGCTTGACCTCAGCTGAGACACACACTCACACACAAACACACCCACAGAGACTTTCCATTGACCACATATAGCTCCTAGTTTCTACTCAATTTCTCTCACACATTTTTTTAAGTCAAACTTCCTAAAAATTGAAAATTGTTTACATTTAATTTTTTTACTTTCTACCTCCCACTCCAAGTTCCTTTGAAATCTCGCTTCTGCTTTTCATACTTTTTCACTAAAATGTCCACACCAAAGTCACCAATGATTTCCTTCTGGCTAAATACAGTGGTGACTTTCTGAGTTTTAACTTTACCTCTCAGCAGGGTTGCTTATTATTAACCTATCCTTTCTTTTTGAAATATTCTCTAACCTTAGCATCTACACCACAGGTTTTTCTTGATCTTCTTTCTACCTTTTCAGCCACTTATCCTCAGTCTTTGCTGAATATCAAACACTGATATTCCCCAGAGTGTTGCTGGGGTCCTCATACACAATTCTTGGCTGACCTCATCCACTCCATGACTTCAATTACCATGAATTTATCAATAATTTCCAAGCCTGTATTTCCAGCCCAGATCTTATTATAGCTGATTACACATTGGGCGTCTCTATTTGGACACCTAAAGTTCCCTCAAACTTCACGTTAAATATTAATCTCACTTATTTATTGAATTGCTGCAACATACCCACAGTAGACCAAGCCAGAGTCTTCGGTATTAACCATGACTTACTCCTTTTATTCACCCTCAGTATTGAAGTACTCATTTACCTCCTGTAAATTTTGCCTCCTAAGTATTTCTGGAATGTGTCTACATATCTTTGTACCAACCCTATCACGTTGGATTACTGCAACAGTCTTTTTGTCTGCCTCTAGTTTTGCTCCTCCAAATCCATTCTCCATATCTTGGTCATAGTGACCCTCTAAACCTCAAATTGGATCACATTACTCACAATTTAATTTCCATAGTGGTTTCCCAATGCTTAAACCCTTTACCTTTCCTTACCATACCCTGCATGTCTGGATTCCTCTTAATTTCTCCCTTGCTTCCATGCTTGTACTTACGATGCAGCTGCATTAAACATTGTTCATTTCTTCAAAAGTGTCAATTTCTCTTGTTTCTAATATATAATATACAATTACATATTGTTTGCCTGAGTTTAACAAACATTCTTGCAACTCCTACTCACCTTGCTAACTCTTACTTATTTTTCAGGTCACCACTTAAATGTCATTTGGGGGAAAATACTCCCATGACCAGTCTCCACTCCAGATTAAATTAGGTGGATTTGCTATTTTCAGAGATTCCCATACTTACTTATTCTTAACATTTGACTCATTATTTTTGCTTATTGTTTGTTTAATTATTTGTATTTCTGAATGCACTATGGCCTCTCTAAGGTCAATAATCTTCATCAATGTATGAGACATAATGCCTGATGCATAATTAAGGATAAATAAAATTTGTTGTGTTATTGAGTATATTTATATCATGTTTTATGATTTTCCCAACATTAGTTATGCACAGATTTATCTAGTCTGGATAATCTTAATCTGCATATAGAGAAATAAACCACTGTGCATTTTTTTTTTTTTTTTTTTTTAAGTAAAGGCTCAAGTTTCTTTTTTGTTTTTAACCCAGGACATTCATTGAGATTTGCAAGAGAGAGAGACTAGATTCATGTTTGTTGATAAAACGTAAATTTTCCAGTGGTAAACTTATTTGTAAGTCCTTTGATCCACTGAGAGTACAACTAAAAGATCATACATGAATTAAAGGGAAAAAAAAGCATTCACTTTAAATCCACATGTATGAACAGAAACAATTATAACCTTTATGGAATGAAATACAAAACCTTAAACATACTTTTAAAAAATTATGTGCAAAGAACATATAACTATGTTTAAAGTATAATGAATGGAAAAATATGTACTATTTAATTAATATGAACATTTGAGAGATATAGAAAAAACAAGGAGGAGGAAGTTACAATTAAAGGGAAAGGAGTGAAAAAATGATGGAAGATTAAGCGATAAGAGAATCTCTTTCATATTCAAAGCCAAGTCATCAATGTTCTTTGAAAGATTGAATTTGATTTGAACATTCAAATAGTAAAGTATTTAAAAAATCAAATAATTAGTTTGGCTACATTTCTTTCTTTTTTTTTAATTCAAGGATTATTTTTGAAATAGTAGGCCTCATTAAATTCTAAAATTTAAGAGACATTATCTTACCTCTGAACCTCTAATATAGGAACTCTAAAAAGTACTGCGAATTTAATTAACCATGTCTAAAAATCCTAATAAAAATCAAACTTTGTCTTATTTGTTTGCTTTATATATATACATATATATATGTTTGCTATACATATATGCATATGTATATATGTTAGATTGTCTTATTTACAACTTAAGTTACTTTTGAGTCACCCAGTATTCCAAATTAATTTTTAAAAAGAGTATAGTTATCCTAGTTGGTAGAAAGGGAGTATATTAAATAATATAAACCTGGAAGAGTCCTAGTGGAAAAATATTTAATAATAAATGGGACAGTTAAAATTTATTGCATTTCAAAAGTTCCTATCCTTAAACTTTAGGTTTCTTTTGGAATTTGTGTTTATGTTTTTGTGTATGTTTGAAATTGGGGCGAAATTACTGCTTTGTTAGGTAATGGCTTTGATGAGACCAGTTTCAACTTCTCACTTACACTCTCATTTCTGTTTCATACTGATCTTTACTCCCCCTGCCCAGCCACTGCTACTCAGAAAGGGAACACGGCTTACATTAGAGTTCTTGCTCCTGAAATCATGTTTATTATCTCATTTCTTGTTCCCATTGCTCCCTGGCCCCTTCTTCCCTTTTTTGAAAATTTTTATAGACATGAACTATTTTCCGCCTCTCTAATACATTGCCTTTAACAATGAAAAAAGACCTATATTTGGTAGTTGTTATGGATTGAATTGTGTCCCCCCAAAATGTGTGTCAACTTGGCTAGGCCATGATTCCCAGTACTGTGTGATTGTCCACCATTTTATCATCTGATGTGATTTTCCTATGTGTTGTAAATCCTAATCTCTATGAAAAAAAATAAAGAAAAACATTAAAAAAATAATAATAAAGAAAACAAAAATCCTTATAACTGGACTAATAAGCAACATCATGATAAATGGAGAAAAGACTGAGGTTGTCAACGGTTTCATTTTACTTGGATCCACAATCAACACCCATGGAAGCAACGATCAAGAAATCAAAAGATGCATTGTGTTGGACAAATTGGCTGCAAAAGGCTTCTTTAAAGCAAAGATGTCACCTTCAGTACTAAAGTGCACCTGACCCAAGCCATGGTGTTTTCAATTGCCTTATATGCATGCAAAAGATGGACAATGAATAAGAAAAACTGAAGACGAAATGATGGCTTTTAATTGCGGTGTTGGTGAAGAATATTGACTCTACCGTGGACTGCCAAAAAAATGAACAAATGTGCCTTGGAAGAAGTACAACCAGAATGCTCTTTAGAAGCAAGGATGGTGAGACTACTTCTCACATACTTTGGACATGTTATCTGGAGGGATCAGTCCCTGGAGAAGGACATCATGCTTGGTAAAGTAGATGGTCAGCGAAAAGAGGAGGACCCTCAAGGAAATGAATAGACACAGTGGCTGCAACAATGGGCTCAAGCATAGCAACAACTGTGAGGATGGCGCAGGACTGGGCAATGTTTCCTTCTGTTGTGCGTAGGGTCACTATGAGTCAAAACTGACTCGACAGCACCTAACAACAACAACAACATACTTTTATTAAGTGTAAAGAAGTTATAACCTTTAGAAGTTGTCTTTCCAGAATTTTGAAGATACGTAATTCCAGGAGTAATTATCCTTTGTCTTCCCCCAAGAGAGATGTGAGAATGTTTGTGATTTTTTTTAAACACAGGAAGTCTCAAATTACTTTTAAAATGACGGCTTTATTTTGGTATTAATTCATAATTTGAAGGTGAAAGTTTAAATTATATGCCACTAAGTGTTACATAACATTAATTTCATTGCTGCCGAGTTGATTCGGACTTGTAGTGACCCTATAGAACAGAGTAGCACTGTCCCATAGGGTTTCCAAGGCTGTAAATGTTCACAGAAGCAGACTGACACATCTTTCTCCAGCTGAGCAGTTGGTATGTTCGAACTGCCTACCCTCCAGTTTTCTTCCTAGGAAGCTCCTATTTAACTTTTATTTATCAATTTAAAAATCATTTCTCTATGAATATTTTGCTGGACACCTCTATCGCAAATTTTGAATATTTCCTTTCTTGTGCTACCACTGAACCTTTCTATACGTCTCAGGTATTTGTTTTTGCTCTTACTATAATGTTTGGTAATTAAATGTTGAAGCTTCTTCTATCTAGTCTCTTCGATTTTCTAAACTAATTGCAAATTTAATGCTAAAACTATTGTCACTATTTTTGTGTTCTAGTTTTCAATAAAAATAGTTTCATTAACTCCTGATACAGGAGAACACTGGCATACTAATACGATACAGTATGATAAAGACCTTGAGAACAAAGTCTTGAGTTTTCTAAGAACACATGCAATGATCAGTTTTAATTTGAAAAGAACTTTCCTCTTTTATTCTCTTCATGCCTTGGCATTTATTTGACTGTGAACGGTAATTTCCCCTATTTATGTTGAGATCAAAATAACCACATGAGCATTTTAGAGAAACTGCATGGAAATACACGGAGAAAAAGAAATAAAAAATGTGCATGAGGAGAGAGGGTGAAAAGATGGAAGATTTGGAATGATCTATAATAGAAGATATAACAATAAGACTTTACTAAGATATATTTCTAAATTCTTACTAGTTTCATTCTCTGATAGGTATTCTTCTATCTAACTAGATTTATTAAAAATGTACTTAGAGATTTGAAGTGGAATAGTGAAAATTTCTAAGCATGAATTTTATGTACTTTTATATTACCATAATATATTTCTTTCAAGGGAATAAAAACTACATTTTATGTAAAATATCTTCTATCTATGGTACCTTAACTTCTTGGTGTGTATGTGTCTGGTTTGCTGCAAATCCATTTTCTAATCAAATTGCTACTGGCACTGCTAATCTCAATATTGTGTAGACAGGCACATTCTCCAAATCCAATTATTTTAAACCTGAAACAAAGCACAGAAGAAAGGCCAAAGAATGAATAGGCACTAGAAGGATAAGAGAAAAAGTTTCCTTTGCTTTTTTACTCTAACCCAACATCATAATGTTAGAATATAAAGCAAATTGATTTCATGTGCGTTGCCTGACCTATAAGGTAGTTTTATAAACTCAGCAACCTATAACCCATATGGCAGAGAAGTGCAAGACTTATTGCCAAACATTTTAAATCTATATTGTAAAATATTCCATTTTTTCAGCATCTCTGGACCTCATATGTAAAATAGGGATAAATATACCCCCTTCTCAGGTTTGTTGTGGAGATCAAATGATAGAATGAACAAGAAGCATTGTGTTTGGCATATTATAGGTATTTAGTACTTTGTAATACGATTTCTACTCTGGGCTCATTTTAGCTTCCAGGAGAATGGTTATGTATGGATCACTCCATGGTAGGGAGGGACTCTGAGCCTAGCTCTAAGTGTGTAAATTATATACCCAGGACTTACCAACCACTGTATATGGTTCCATCTATCCACTTCCAAGCCTCTCCAAGTTGTCGGCTCAGTCCAATACAATATTGAAAATGGTCAGAATATCGTTTAAGAAAATCCTTTAATATATTTACAGACTGAAAAAGGAGCCCTGGTGGTGCAGTGGCTAAAGTGCTCAGATGCTAAGTGAAAGATTGGGAGTTCAAACCCACCACCCTCTCTGTGGGAGAAAGATGTGGCAGTCTGCTTCTGTAAACCTCAGAAACCCTATGGGGCAGTTCTACTCTGTCTTATAGGGTCGCTATGAGTCGGAATCAACTCGTTGGAAAGGGTTATAGACTGAATAGCAAATACCTCATCCGCTAGGATTTTCTTTCATCCTATGCAGTATAGTCTTTGTAGAAATACAGACTTTCCTGTTTGGAAATGATCTTAGAGGGCACACTGTCCTTATCTTGTTCATAGGTTGTGCTGCTTCTGTAACAATTTTAGTAGTAAATTGCATTGAGTAGCTTTCCCTCTTTTTCTATTTTGCAATAGTTTTTTATACATCAGAAATTTTCTGTTCTGTGAAGGCTGGGTCATTTGCTAGTAAATCTGTCTAGCTTTGGTGACTTTCAGGATGGCTGAATTTTTGGTTAGTAATAAAATGTATTGAACAGTTATTCGTTCTTTCTGGTTCTTCTTCATAATTCATTCTGATATGGTATAATTGAGACACTTACCCATTTCTTTCTTACAAGTTTCCAATTTAGTGGAATAAAATTCTGTCAGTTTTGAAAAACTATTTATATGCATTCAAGTTAATGTTGTTATTTGTCATTGAGTAGATTCCCATTCTTGGTGACCTCACGTATTACAGAGTAAAACTAGGCTCCATAGGGTTTTCACCAGGCCTGTCTTCCAAGACACATCTGAGTGGGTTTGAACTGCCAGCTTTTAGGCTAGTAGTTGAGTGCTTAGCAATTTGAACCACCCAGGAACATTCAAGTTAACAGTTGTTTTATTTTCTTGGTGGAATGTTTCTCTTTATCTCTGTGAATGTTTTTTGCCTTGAATTACTTTTTTCTGATATTATCACTAACTCGTTTTTGTTTTTTTTTAAATGGGAGTGGTTAATATTTGCTTTGTGTATATTTTTCTTTCACTTTATCTCTAATTTCTGTGTGTGTGTATATGTGTGTGCGTGTGTGCATGTGCAGGCATGCATGCCTGTGTGTTTAGGTATGTCTCCAGAAGCACTTAGCTAGACTTTGTTTTTTTAAAAACCAATCTGATAACTGTCTTTTAAGAGATATATTAGATACCTTTAGATTTTGTTGTGATTACAATTATATCTGGATTTATCATTTTTGTGTTTTCTGATTACTATCATTTTTCTTCTCTTTTTTTTTAATAACCTTACCTCAATTATGTTGGAGTGATAAGTTTACTGTGTTCCTTTAGTTGATTTGAGTACTATAGTCAGGATAACTACTTTGTCACACTTACCTAGCTATACATATTCCAAACAAGCGTATAGTTATTTAGTATTTTATCTTCCTTCTGACCATAATGAGTACTATGTTGTTGTTGTTATTAGGTAGCTTCAGTAGGTTCAGACTCATAGCCACCCTGTATGTACAAGAGAACAAAATACTGCCCAGTCCTGAGCCATCCGCACAACTGTTGCTATGTTTGAGCCCTCTGTTGCAGCCACTGTGTCACTCCATCTTGTTGAGAAGAGTCTTCCTCTTTTTTGCTAACCCTCTACTTTACAAAGCATGAAGTCCTTTTCCAGGGACTGGTCCCTCCTGATAACATGTCCGAAGTCTCAATATCCTCACTTCTAAGGAGTATTCTGGCTATACTTCTTCCAAAACAGATTTGTTTTGTGTTCGCCAACACCATAGTTCAAATGTATCAATTCTTCTTTGTTCCTCCTTACTCGTCCAACTTTTGCATGAATATGAGGCAATTGAAAAATATCATGGCTTTGGTCAGGCACATCTTAGTTCTCAAAGTGACATCTTTGCTTTTTAACACTTGAAAGAGGTCTTTTTTTAGCTGATTTGCCCAATACAATAATACCTTGTTGATTTCTTGACTGCTGCTTCCATGGGCTTTGATTGTGGATTCAAGTAAAATGAAATCTTTGACAACTTCAATATTTTCTCCGTTTATCATGATGTTGCTTATTGGTCCAGTTGTGAGGATTTTTGTTTTCTTTATGGCAAAGTATAATCCATACTGAAGGCTGTAGTCTTTGATCTTCATCAGTAAGTGCTTCAAGTCCTCTTCACTTTCAGCAAGCAAGGTGTGTCATCTGCATATAGCAGGTTGTTAATGAGTTTTCCTCCAATCTGATGCTGTGTTCTTCTTCATATAGTCCAGTTTCTCAGGTTTTTTGTTTAGCATATATGTTGACTAAGTATGATGAAAGGATACAACCCTGAGGCACATCTTTCCTAATTTTAAACCACGCAATATCCCCTTGTTCTGTTCAAATGACTGCCTCTTGATCTATGTACAGGTTCTGCCTGAGCACAATTAAGTGTTCTGGAATTCCCATTCTTTGCAATGTTATCCATAATTTGTTATGATCCACACAGTCGAATTCCTTTGCATAGTTAATAAAACACAGGTTAACATCTTTCTGGTATTTTCTGCTTACAGCCAAGATCCATCTGACAACAGCAATGATATCCCCCATTCCATGTCCTCTTCTGAATCCAGCTTGAATTTCTGGCAGTTCCCTTTTGATGTAACACTGCAACTGCATTTGAATAATCTTCAGCAAAATTTTACTTGTGTGTGATATTAATGATATTGTTCAATAATTTCCCCATTCTGCTGGATCACCTTTTTTTTTTTTTGGAATGGGCACAAATATGCATCTCTTCCAGTCAGTTGGTGAGGAATCTGTCTTCCAAATTTCTTGGCATAGAAGAGTGAGCGCTTCTAGCATTGCATCCCTTTGTTGAAACATCTCAGTTGGTATTCTGTCAGTTCCTGGAAACTTGTTTATCACCAGTGCCTTCAGTGCAGCTTGGCCTTCTTTCTTCAATACCATTGGATCTTGATCACATGATACCCCATGAAATGGTTAAATGTTGACCAATTCTTTCTGGTACAGTTACCCTGTATATTCCTTCCATCTTCTTTTGATGCTTCTGCGTTGTTCAATTTTTGCCCATTGAGTCTTTCAGTATTACAATTTGAGGCTTGAATTTTTTCTTCAGTTCTTTCAGCTTGAAAAATGCTGAGCATGTTCTTCCCTTTGGCTTTCTAACTCCAGGGTTTTGCACATTTCATTGTAATATTTTGCTTTGTCTTCTCAAGCTGCCCTTTGAAATCTTCTGTTCGGCTCTTTTGCTTCATCATTTCTTCCATCCACTTTAGCTACTTTACTTTCAAAAGCAAGTTTTCGATTCACTTCTGACATCCATTTTCACCTTTTCTTTGTCTTCTGTCTTTTTAATGACCTTTTGCTTTCTTCACGTGTGATGTCCTCCCACAACTTGTCTGGTCTTCAGTCATTAGTGTTCAATGTGTCAAATCGATTCTTGAGATGGTCCTAAATTCAGGTGAGATATGCTCAAAGTTGTACTTTGGCTCTCCTGGACTTGTTCTAATTTTCTTCAGCTTGAACTTGAACTTGCATATGAGCAATTGATAGTCTGTTCCACAGTCAATCCTTGGCCTTGCTCTGACTGATGATATTGAGTTTCCTCATTGTCTCTTTCCACAGATGTGGTTGATTTGTTTCCTGTGTATTCCATCTGGCAAAGTCCAAGTGTATAGTTGCCATTTATGTTGTTGTTAAAAAGTATTTGCTATGGATAAGTAGTTGGTCTTGCAAAATTCTATCATTCCATCTCTGGCTTGTTTTATTGCATATTTTAATTCAAGATTGGACATTACTCATGATATATATATTTAAAGTTTTGATTTTAACCTTCTCATAAATGCATACTTTTTAAATATAATCAGTAGTTAAAATTTTTATTGACATACTTTTATTCAATGCTGTGTTCTTTGTTTCTTGTATTAGTTGTCTTTTCTTCCTGTTCACTTTTCTTTTTTTGGAAATGCCTCCTTTAATAATTTTTGTTGAGGGTCGGTAGCTGATAAACTCACTTAATTTTTGTTTGTCTGGAAATGTCTTTATTTTGGCATCTTTTGTGAATGATAATTTATCTGGGCATAAATTTCTAGATTGATGATTATTTTATAGCAGCAAATTTGAGCTGTTTCTGTTCAAAATGATGTTGATGAGAAATCTACTGTTTGTTTAAATGGTTCCTTTGAAGATATTTTCTCTTTTGTTTCTGGTAGCTTTTGTAATTTTCTCTTTATCTTTTATGATCTATAGTTTTTATTACTAGGAATCAGAGATTTCATTTTAGATCAGTGTCCAAGACTTTCCTCAATTAAGGAAAATAGTAAACAATGTACACCATAAATATTGCTTCTCTACCATTGGCTCCATTCTATTGGTTTGCAAATCCAATTAGACAATTGTTGGAATGTCT